TGTAAACCTAGCACTCTGGGAGGCTGAGGCAGGAGGATTGCTCGAGGTCAGGAGTTCGAAACCAGCCTGAGCAAGAGCGAGACCCCGTCTCTACTATAAATAGAAAGAAATTAATTGGCCAACTAATATATAGAAAAAATCAGCCGGGCATGGTGGTGTATGCCTGTAGTCCCAGCTACTCGGGAGTCTGAGGCAGCAGGATCGCTTGAGCCCAGGAGTTTGAGGTTGCTGTGAGCTAGGCTGACGCCATGGCACTCACTCTAGCCTGGGCAACAAAGTGAGACTCTGTCTCAAAAAAAAAAAAAAAAAAAAAAAGTAAGGACATTTAATGTGCCCCTAAAACTTCAGTGTGCATATCATTAACTACAGTTCAATATTTATGTTTTTATGTGAAACATACATGTTTTGAAATCCACACATCTTAAGTGTACTAGTCCATACATTTTGGGGAAAAGCTTTCCAGGCAAATCAGAAAAAATGGAAGCTCCCAGTAACCTAAACCCCTACCAAAATATACAACATTTTCAACAATTAGAAAGTTTTGTCATCTCCCTTCCCTGTCAATCCCTGTCCCTACCTTTCATCCTCACCCTTAGGTAACCACTGTTCTGATTTTTTCACATGCATGTTGTCCATTTGATAATCTTCCTTTGTAAAGTGGCTGTTTAAGTATTAATATTTAGCTTATGTTTTAAAATTACTTATGTTTCAATGATCAAACTTTGGGAGTATTTTATATATGTGGATACAAGTGCTTTGTCAAATATGAGTTTTGCAAATATTTTCTCCTAGTCTTTGGCTTACCTGTCTATTTTCTTAATGGTGCCTTTTGATGAGCTTAAGATTTTAGTTTTCCTAAAGTCTTATTAACCTTTCTTTTATTCTTTGTTTTGTTTTCTTTCTAGGAAATCTTTACCTACACTCAGCACACAAGGATATTCTTTCAAGCTTTCACCTAAAAACTATATAGTTTTGGCTTTTATGTTTAGGTTTATAATCAATTTCATTTAATTTTCTGTATATTGTGAAGTAAGGATCATGGTTACCTTTTTTCCCTCCAGTATGGCTGTCCAGTTATTCAAGTACTATTTGTTGAACAAGACTTTCCTTTCCCACTGAATTGCTATGGCACTTTGCAAAAATTCAAACAACTTTGTAAGTGTGAATCTAAAACCAGGCTCTCTGTTCTGTTCCATATATTGGTCTGTTCTTATGCCAAGACCACACTGTCTCGATTACTGTAGCTTTATAGCAAGTCTTGAAGTTAAGTATTATAAACCTTATAACTCTGTTCATTTTTAAGATTGCTTTGAATATTCTCAATCCTTTACATCTCTATATATATTTAGAATCTAACAAAAAACCTCAGGATAATGTCCACTCAAACTAGTGTAGTATCATGGACATGGTAAAACTAGTGAAGGTGCTAGATACGTTGTGGAGGAAGAACCAATGGATTTTCCCATCTGTTGGATGTTAGATGTGAAAGAAAGAGAGGTATTTAGGATAACTTCAAGTTTTTTGGCAAGCAGCACAGAAGAATGAGATTGTTATCAGCTGAGATGGAGAAAGCTTTCTCCAACTGATTCAGCTATAGGTGAATCAGTTTAATAAGACAAGGTCTGTATCTTAAAAGGCTCACATTCATAAGTGAGAGATAATTAACATGGTCAATTAACTGAGCTAATGTGCTAAGTATTTTTATAGCAGTTTCGCGGGAGAGCAGAGGAGAAAAAGTATCATTTCAATTTGTGATAAGGAAACAGGTAGCAATTGATCGATGTATTGAAGAATGAATAGGATGAGAAAAACCTGAGAGGAAGGGAATTATTAGTGAAAAAATCATCATGAGCAATAGCAATGGAAAAATTACCACGAAGGGCTTTGGGGAATGGATAGTTTGGTGTGATTAGAGAGAAAAGTGTGTGATGATGATAATTGGAAAACGGATGGAGCACTCAGGGAAGGGAATATAGATAAAAATAGAATCAAGCTAAAGGACACATTATTTACTGTGCTGATGAACTTGCACTTATACAACAGACATGGGAGAAGTTGAAGGAAATATTTTCAAACAGTAGCATAAAACTCCTTAGGTGGAAAATAAGCCAATAATTTATTTGTATCTTACTTTTTTATGTTCATTGTTCAGAGGCAATTCAAACAAATTACAAAAATATATATTCATTATGGTAGTTCTACAGTGTGGTCCTGAAAGGCATTCTCTCAGCTGTTTTATTGCAGTAGTATTTTTTTTTTAATTTGATGACTTTTTTTTATCCTGGCAAGATTTAATGGCTTCTTCATGATCTTAAATATAAAAAGAGGGGGGGAAACACAATGTGAATAATGCCAGTTTTGTATTCCTTTGGGTAAGATGTTAAGTGGTCAATTGTTTGCCAGTGTATTCCGTGAATCAAAAATGTTTTAAAACCATTGTGAGAAAATTGATGCTGTTAAGTCTCATGATTGTTTTTTCTCTTCAAGTCATGTGCCCCAAGGGTGAGACTTTCAGGAGACTTTTAGTAGCCATCAGTCTAAAGCATGAAATGCATATATTTCTCTTATTCAAATAATAAAAAGAGGTAGTATTAACTATAAAATGTTTTATGCTTTTTTCATGTGCTTAGACATGTATTATGTAATCTAGGAATAAAATAGAATGTATTTGGGGCCCTAGAAGAAACAGTACATTCCTGGGATATTTTAGGGTTAACAAATGTCTTATTAGGAGTTGGGGGTAGGCCTCTCTAATTTTAGTTAATTATTACCCTACACTGTGTACTACATAATATAAAGTGGATTTCTCCTGGCAAAGGATGTATGTCAGATTTAATCCACTGCTGAGATAACACATAATTACATAAAAATGATATGTGAATTGGTTTTCTTGATTTTTATGATCTTAACATTTCTCATCTACTCATATGAGACTTATTTCCTTTTAGACTGAATAAGCTCAGTTTTTATGACTCTTCCATGTTAAACCTCTTGTATGTCTATACATCTGTCTTTTAAACTATTACTACTAATACTTAAGTGTATTAAGACAAAATTGTTCTGAAGTGGTGATCTATCATCTAAGTTGAAGTACACAAGTAGACAGGTCTGTAATCACCAGTCTCTAGTCCTGGCTTCCAAATATTCAAATGTTTACAATTTCTTCTCATGTATTTCAACTGGTGTGTGAGAGGAATTATTTGTTTACTGCTGCAATGTTGTTTTTAGTGAATGGGAAAGCACTGACCAGATGGTGAAATTCAGTGTAGCTGAGGCTTATTGGTAAGAGGATAGCTCTTAAAATCTACAAATAGCCCTGTTGAATTATTTCAATCTATCGCTCAGCGTATACATATTTGTATATTAGCCAGGTTTTTGAAATTAGAAATGAACTAATTTGAGCCTTAGCTAAAAGGTGGAGATTTCAAATATGATGATTTTTATTTATCTTTATAAAGCTTTTGATTTCATTGTAAAAAATATTCATGTCATGAAGCTTCTTCATGAGTGAGAGGTGACTATAAAAGTGACTCATAATCATCATCACCATGGTCATCATCATCCAGATGTTTTTTAAAAAGGAACCACTATTTTTGTCCTCAAATAGTAAATAAAACATACACTTTTTATAAAAGGTTTTATTAGAATCTTTATAATGATCTAGCTTCAAAGGAAACAGAGGTTTACCCTACTAAAACATTATAAAATTAAAGAAATTATTGAAAATGAAAGACTATTGATTGGGGAACCATTCCAAAGACCCCATTCTATTTGAATATGACTCCTTTTGCTTATTTAAAGGGTTTTGGTAGTCTAATGCTGGTAAATTGAATCTATTTAAAGTAAAGTGGCTGTGGTCGCTTTTAGAATACAAAAGATAAAAGACACAAGGCATAGCTCTGAGAAGTTTGAACTTGGACTTTGATGTCTTAAAAAAATTATGCCTAAATGGCATCCATTGTGTAACAGACAAAGAAACTTTCACATAGCAATATATTAGGCACGTGGGTTTTCAATGTATTAGGAACATGGGTTCATTGTTAGGTTAGTGGTAACCGAAGCTACTTTGCATAGAGTAATATGAACCTATTTTATATTTCTACACTTATTATTTAATTTTTAAAACGAGATGACTGGCATCCCATATCTCATTTGATTAGTTCATTACTCAGGTACTGTTCTTTTCCTTCTATGTAGCCAACCATCATGATACTTGGGATTTCATTGTCCTAGGGCATTAGGGAGAGGGGGTGTGTGTGTGTGTGTGTGTGTGTGTTTCATGTTTGCTTTCTTCTTATGTAATTTAAGAGGAAACTAAGAACTAATGGTATTATGACTATTAACACTAACAAAGCCCTTTTAATCTGCATTGCTGAAAGTATTTAATAGAAAGAAGCCCTATAGTAGAATGTCTGGTATCAGAGAAGCATGGATTTAAACCCTTTAAAAATATGCAGGCTTACTAAGGCAAAGATATAACACCTGGCTGTTCCCAGATCTCATCAATACTGTTTTATTTCACAATTTTTTCCCTCCCGCAAGTGCAGCCACTTCAGCCCCTGTAATAGCATACAGTCTAATAGCAGTTAATTATAGCCATCAGCCAAGAGCAGTTTGGCTTACTACTTTGGTGGCAAGAAAAGGAAAGGATCAGAAAGGGAAAGGAAAGGGAAGGGAAGAAGGGAGGGGAGGGAAGGGGAGGGGGAGGGGAGGGGAGAGGGAGGGGGAAGAAGAGGAGAGGGAGAGGGGGGAAGGGAGGGAGGGGAGGGGGAAGGGGAGGGGAGGGGAGGAAAGGAAGGGAATGAACGGAACAGAAAGATAAAGGAAAGAACGGAAAGGAAGTGAAAGGAACAAAAAGGAAAGGAAAGGGAAAGGAAAAGGACCTTTCTTGGAGCTGAACCATAGTTGTTTGGCTATAGCTATGGGTCACTAGATTTAATTTTCCAGGGTTCCAAATAAATAACAATTTTAAAATGAGACCAATTTTATTTACTTTTTAGGCCACGTGGATGAACGAACAGTATGTAATGGAATCGCCCCAGAGAAAGATGTAGACGGATATCATATTATCAACATTGGAAGGCTGTGCCTTGATCAGCATTCTCTTGTACCAGCCACTGCCAGTGCTGTGTGGGAAATAATCAGAAGAACAGGTTGGTAACTTGGGGTCTGCAGGACGAGGGCGGTAGGTGCTGAACGGAACGTTTGTGCCTCCTATAGCATGACAGAAAATGATAATCCATAAAACTGCAGTCTGTAGAAAAAATAAAGTTATAAAAGTCAAAAAATAACCCAAAATAAAATAAAATGAGGGCCATGTGCCATGTTACAGATATCTGTTGCAACTTGCAGGGAGTGAATTTTCCAAATAGTAGTTGTGTCTGCCTGTTTTTAAATTACAAACTTAGTAGTTTGATGAAAACCTTTCCAAAATGTATTAGATTTTTGCTTACCTTTAAAAAATGTGCTGATCATGTATGAAAAATTTCTGTTGACTTCGGTTTTCATTATAAACATTTACCTTGCACTGTGCTAGATACTGTGTGCTCTCCCAGACTCTTTAGGTGTGTAGAGATGCTTGCCCCGCGCCCACTGACTCCAGGTTGCCTTGTGCATTGAGGACTTGCCTGCCTTCACCACGGTCACTTACGTTCCGTCTGCATCGCCTCCTTTCTGATCTGCTGTTTTCTAACTGATGCAGAAAATTTCCAAAGGAAAGCAGATCCTAGACTCATACTCTCAGAATGTTAGTGCTTGGAAAAATCTTAGTTCTAAATTCTTCATTTTACTTAGAAAAAACTGAGTCCAAAAGAGGTAGTGTTAAATCTGCAGACTTTATCGTTCACACCCTTCTGAGTTTGTAAGTTTAGTGTATTTAGTACTTCCTTACTATGGAGTAAGGTGTATATGTTTTTTGAAAAATGCCTTTTTTCCCCACTTCATTTTGTCACAGCTTTGCTCAAAGTTTGATTGCCAGTTAAGTTTGACATTATTGTACTTTGCTCAGTTTATAATTAGTAGTTAATATGTTTTAAGCCTCTGGACTTCTCACTCTTCATGTGAATCTCAGTGTTCAAAAGTAATTTAATAGAAAACTTGAGAATATTTGTGGTTTTTTTAATGAGGACATAATCAGAGAGGAAGTGACAAATCCAAGAAGTGTAATAAGAATTATTTATAAATAATGAATTGGGCACATGATAGACAAGCCACATAATAATCCATATTTAATTAGACATTTTTAAAGAATGTTTCAGTTGATTGTTCAAATGTTGAATTTTCTTCTTGTTGTTGATTCTGCATTTAAATCAAACTCTGTTTTTAAGGAATTGAAACATTTGGGAAGAACGTGGTTGTGGCTGGAAGGTCCAAGAACGTAGGGATGCCCATCGCCATGCTCCTACACTCCGACGGAGAGCACGAACGGCCCGGAGGTGGGTAGGGCCTTGTGGAGTCTGTGACTCCTAACGTTTTCTTACTTTTTATGTCATCAAGTAAAGACTTTTGATTATCAACTTAGCATACTTGTGTTTATGCAATTAAAGGTTTCCTTTATTCTTCATTTAATGCTGTGAAAGCCTTGAAAGTGAATAAAAGAATTACTGAAAATATGTGGCCCATTTGTTCCCATTTCTTCTCCTGGCTACATACACTTTCTCTAAATCATTAACACTGTAGGCATTAAGAAAGCTGAAAAGCCACTAGATACATAAGAATCTCATGCCTAAAAAATAGAAAGCAAAAACCCAAACCTTGGAGTGTTGGTTATAGAATTCCTACAATGACAAAGTCTTAGTACTTTAGAGGTCAGCTAGTTAGTTCCTTTTACAGACAAGGAAGCTGAGGCTTAGAGTTGTTAACTGATTATCTAGGTTAGACAACTAGTCATTGAATTGAAAGGAGTAGTGACACCCCAAGTCACTGAGAAAGTCCAGAAAAATGTGATTGTGTTTGAGAACATATGGCCATATTTTCCGGGTGGTTGTCATCTGAACATCATCCTAAGACCTTGGTTTTTTCAGCAGCCTGATAGCTAGATGCTGAGCAGCTCCCCGGGGGGTGGGAGGGAAATCCAGCACAGGGATAAAGGGGCATTGTTCATGGCTGCCTCAGCCAGTGCCGTGGGCAGAGGGGACACAGGCTACTCAGCTCAGCACTGCCTGCTAAATCCTGCCTCTTGTTCTAACGTGGGTCATTCCTGTTCTTAATACAGTAGTTATTGGTCTGTGTATGTCCTAGGGATTTTTATGACTTTCTTTAGCATTTACTGCCCCTAGCCTTTTCCCCTAAACTTTGATACAGTAAGTTCTTCATTGTTTTCTTTAATTCCAAATAAGAGGGGAGATATGTTTTTGCTTTCTAATATTTAACCAGAGTGATAGACACCTACATGCTCGTGTACAACACACACACACACACACACACACACACACGCACATGTATGCACACACACCACACATAGGTATATAGATTTCTAATCATTATTAACCTTCGTGAATTCCACTTTCCTGATATAAAATTTTCTGTAGTACTTGTTTTAGGATCTTGGTTGACATAATGCATATGAAATAATTTTTTACAACACAAAGCCCTACGGAAAAATAAAACTACTCATATCTAAAATGATGATTGATGAAGTTTTTGAATATTATTGTTCCTTTCTGTGCCTAAGAATTTAAATATTGCCAGAAATCAATATGTGCATGTGTACCATAGTAAATTAAAGCCTGATAATCCCTCCAGGAAACTTTAAAAAGCTTTAGTTTTTAAAGAGCTCTTTTAAAGGCCAAACTGCTAGTATCACAGTTTTCATGGTATTCATCTCCAAAGTTGCATTATTAGTTTCCTGCTTTACTTCTAGCTTAATCTATTACTTATCTATCTAATTCATAGGGTATAGTAAAGATATTGATTCATATTTGCCTTTATGTAATAGTTTCTATGTCAGGCAAGGTAAAACAATCAGGAATGTTTTACCTAAGTTACTACTTTTCCTGGGAATTTTTGACCAAGAGCCAATAAGCAATTATTTCTTCATTTTCAACATTTTATTTTCTTGTCTCATCAGTTACATGACAGCAAGCACTGTGTATCTCCATGATTTGCTCAGTACTTTCTCATAAACTATCTTACTTAGTTCTCAATAATTCTGTTATACATTCATGTTATTCCCATTTTGTACTAAAGGAAATAAGCTTTAGAAACTTCAGAGACTATGTCCAAGCGCACACAAGGAAGTAGAGTTCCAGAACTGGGAGCTGGGTGCTGACTTTGAGGTTAGAAGGATAGCCAGGGAGGCAGACACGTTCATTGCCAATCCTGTGACCTTTGTAAAATGACAGTAATATTAATATCTCCTTGGTTATTGTGAAAATTAAATGAGATTATGGATATGAAGTACTGATTACAGTGTCTGACATATAAAAAGTTAAGTAAGCTGTTGGTACATATAATGGTGGCTATTACTATTATTTTCATTATTGTGCTTAAGTCAATAATCTGTACCCATGCTAACCATGGTAACCATAAAGTAACATGATCTGAGGTTAATGTTGTAATTTTTACTTTTATTTGAAATTTGGTTTTCTTTTTCTAGTGGGTTTTGCATTTGAGGTCATATCTAGTCTTTTTTATAATAATTTGAGTAAACTGAGAGTTTATAAAATATAATTACTTAATTAGAAATATGACATCATTATTCTCCACATAGAACTTCTACAATGCACATTTTTGGCAGGAATCAGTAATTGCATGTTAATTTCTTGATACATTTCAATTTTGAATTATTAATTTGTCTATAAAATACCTGTCTGAGAAAATTAATTTTTGTCTTCTTTATGCAGTTTTAAACTAGATAATACTATGTCATAAAATATTTTATTTTATTTTATACCATATGTGGGTTATTTATAGCTGTATACATATGTAGTAAACATATTAAAGCAAGCAGGAGAAAGATAAATACAAATTGATGGCAGCAATGACTTCTGAGGAAAGAATTGTATGGTAAAAACATATTACTTTAAAAAATATTTTATAATTTGTGTTATAAAATATTCTCGTTTGAACATATATTAAAAATTGAAATAGGAGTGGAATTAGTTGTAATACTGGTTACTTACAAGCCAGATAGTTAAACTCACCTTTATTATACTGGTACCTAGGTGCCATTATAATTACAGTATCTAAAAGGTAACAAATTATACTAAAAATGAAATTGGAAGATTTGCAATATGGGTGGTATTTAATCTTATACATATTTAGGAGTGTGCTCACGTGTGTTATCCATATAATGAATCGTTGAGAACTGCTTACTGAAGATTTGGAGGCTGTGGGAAAGTCAATGTTTCAAATGTCCATGTCTGTGAGAGCAGCAATTATGTGCAGTGACTGCATACGCATTGTTAGCTAATAGAGATGATGAAGCAGGATTAACCCGGCAAATTCATTCCTATAGAGCTTGTGCTGATGGCACTCACAATGTTGAGTGTTCAGCTAGCACTGTGTATTTCTTTGCCAGAATACATTCAGAACCCTAATGATTCATTTTTGTCTTAAAGCCAAAGATAATTGCACTAGAGGAAAAATAGCCATAGTGTAATTTAGCTTGCTTAATATGTATCTATTCATGGCTAGCTTTTAGTTTTGATATTAAGGACACAGATCCCAGCTTTTATTTTTGAGACAAAGCTTTTTATTAATTCCCTGAGGGCTTAAAATATTTAGAGTGAGAATGTGCTCAAATCTTGAAGTAAAGGGACATTGCTGACACTCAACATGGCAAGGAAGCAAGGAAGGAGACCACCTGCTGCTGAGGACTGGCCCTCACAGAAGGCTGTGTAGAGGGCCTGGCATTTGAGCCACTGTGCATGTTATAGAGAGTAGGTGAGAGATGATTCCTATCCTCCCAAAGCTAGTCTTGATGGTGGTGTTGGGTGCAAGATAACATGATACACAAGTATTGGTAATGCAAATTATAAATATTCAGTGGCAAAAAATAAAATTTGGCATCTCTGGGTAAACATCCTGGGGAAGTCCTTGCTTGAGGAAGCTTGTGGTTAATTAAGGTAACATAAGGAGATCCACAGGGGAAGGTCTCTTCTTATGAGCCCTGCTAATTATTAGGATGTTTGAGTATCATTGTGACCACATATAGATCACTGTGTGTTCTTTTTTAACTTCTTTGTACGTAGTAACTTACCTGAATGCCACTTTAGCATAAAGTCTTTAAGTTTTACCACGAGGAAGTAAGAGATAAACTCTCCAGTTTCTCTAATACAGCTTTTCCCCTTCAAGATAACAAGGTGCCATAAGGAGCAAGGCATTGTGTATAGTTACTGTCATGAGAGGAATTCACAATCTGATGTTATTTCAAATTCTTTAAGAGTAAGCGCCTCTCTAGTATTTTTATTCTTATGCAGGATGTCTCACCAAAATAGGTCCCCTTAAGTGGCCACAGCATGGGGTTGCATGCTGCCCCTTTAACTGAAGGGTCATGGCGTCATTGTGGTGGAGTTGATCCTGGGACCATATTTAAGGAGTATTTTGGTAGGGCCAGGTGCCCGCTGATTTTGCTTTGAGTCCTATGGGCCCTGTGATAGTCTTGATTTCTTTCAGCCAATAATCCTCTAGTACTTACTCTCTGTGAAACACTGTGGGATACAGCAGGGAACAGTACTTAGTCCTCTCTCTCCAGAAGCTGACAGTCTGTGTCTGTAGGATTCATCTTTGCAAGGTGTGTTTTCTTAAGGCACGGGTTGGCATTCAGCTTTCACACTCAAGCTGTCCTGCTGCTACGACTTTCTGTGTCTCAGGCATTCTTTTCTCCAAGAGGCACCCTATCTAAGTGGAAAGCCACAGGGATTTTTGCCGGTTGAATGCCTTTTCTTTATGACAATTGACTCCAGTTGTGAAAATGAACATTTTTGCCAGCCTGGGAGCATTATCTCCCACCTACAGGAGGTAATAACAAAGTCGTGGATGCTCGAGGCAGTGCAGCGTGATGTGAGTGGTCTGTGTTCAGCCCAGTGGCAGGTTGGGCCAAGCTCTCCTAGGTTTCAAAGAGAGGAGCCAGGCCCGGGGCGGTGGCTCACTCCTGTAATCCTAGCACTCTGGGAGGCTGAGGCAGGTGGATCGCTCAAGGTCAGGAGTTCAAAACCAGCCTGAGCAAAAGGGAGACCCCCGTCTCTACTAAAAATAGAAAGAAATTAATTGGCCAACTAAAAATATATAGAAAAAATTAGCCAGGCATGGTGGCACATGCCTGTAGTCCCAGCTACTCGGGAGGCTGAGGCAGCAGGATTGCTTGAGCCCAGGAGTCTGAGGTTGCTGTGAGCTAGGCTGATGCCACGGCACTCACTCTAGCCTGACAACAGAGGGAGACTCTGTCTTAAGGAGCCAAATAGGAACGCCTAGGAATGCATGAGTCATGCAA